ATATATATATATATATAAGAATGAACATTTATTCTTCTTTGAGAAGATTCCTTAAATAAATTTTTCGAAACGAGTACACCCGTATAAATATTAAGCTTAAAAAAGGAAATCTTAGTTTTACAACTTAATGAAAATAGTTAAGTGTGCACTGGAGAAAAGTACAGTTTTAGTTTTTACTTTTATAGAAATAATTATATAATAAAAGCACTAATTTGACTGTTAAAATGTAAAAATCATTATAAAATTTTATTACAAATGGTAAATATTTGAAGATTTCTGTGTTAAAAAAGTTTAGCCCTTTGACGTAGAGTTTTTATTAAACATAGTTTTCGTATTTTTTTCAATGTTTCGTATATAGTAACGTCAAGACAAGTGGAAAATATTACATTTAGCATTTATATAATATATGTTTATGAAATACAGCACGAAATAACGGCAACTTTTTCAGCGTTAAATAAAAAATCTTTCAAACATGGCTCCCTTCCAGATGATAACTTTTCAATTCTGCTCTTATTTGTTATTTTAGAACATTTGTTAGAGAGACGGTTATTCATCATTGAAATAATTTTAATTTCCTAAATTAGTTATTAATAAATTTTTGAATATAAATGAAAAAAAAATTCAAACTAATTTTTTGGAATATTATATTTTAGTACAAATTTAATTACAATAATTTAACAGATTTTTCAGTAACTATTAGACTGTTTTTTCATAATTAAAAAATACCAAAATATATATTTGCTTATAAGTAAAGCTTCAGAAAAAATATATAAAAGGGAGTCCCATGTCTTATCTGGGTCAAAGGGTAAAGCTTCAAAAACTTGCTTTCGTTTAACAATTTTTATTAAATAAAATTTATTGAAAACCAGAATTTGATTTTTTTTCAAAGTCTAAATATACTGCTCAAATGTATTTTTAAAATAAATTCTAAATTTTGTCCTATAATTGCAGTGAAAACATGTAATTTTAAAACTAAAACATGCTATACAACTATTTTTTATCAAGAATTCTTGAAGTATGTATGTAAAAATGTTAAAGAGAAGTAGATTGAAGTAGCATATAGTAATGATGCAGCAAAAAATTACCTTGTTAATAGTTAAGAAAAAAATCTAAACGTGCTTTTATTAGGTAATAAAATATTTAATTTTTTTATTTAATAATTCATATATCAAATAACATGTGAATATTTCAGTGATTCTGAGCAGTGATGAAAATAGGATTCGTGACTTACTATAATTAAAGTTATTTACAAATAAATGTCAGTCATAAAGTCAAAAGTCATAAATTAAAGTAGTCATAGTAGTTGCTTTGATAATCATAATAGTTAGCAAATTTCCATAGTTTTCATTACGTAAAAGTTTTAGTTAGTTTAATTTCGGCTTAGCGACATTTTAGCTTAGTTAAGTTAAAACATTTTATGGTGATAAATTTAATAAAACGAGATAAATATTTGAATAACAAAGTAAATGTTTGCAACATTGATGAAATGATCCATTATTTTATATTTATAAAACTAAAAATAGTGGAATTAAGTTTTGCTTACCTGTTAAAGGAAAGTGTTCTTTTATGTCTCAAATGTTATTGTATAAATACAACATAATCAACAGACTTTTACTTGTTAGTTCATTTAATTTTTACGTCAAAATCAATGAGATATAAGTTTTCACGTTAATTGCATTGTGTCTTTAAACTCTAGTAAAGCGCAACAGGTGTTTCTCATGGAGTGTTCCAAATCAAATTATTAAAAGGCAAGAAATATCTCCCAAGCAATGTTTCTTGTAAAAGTTTTTCTTGTATTTGGACAAAAATACTGTTATTCGATAGTTTCAAGAATAAGATTCCTTTCTTTCAGTTTTTGGATTTTGTACTTATAAATATATCACTTTAAAAAATTCAGTTTTAGTTCGGTAAGTATTTTCTTGGATTTGTTATGTGATTTATAGCTTTCCAATTTAGAAAATGGTAGCAGACGGTGCTGGCACAAGGAAACTTTAAACCACTTGTGGTATATTAGAAATTACTACAAAAGTTTATAATTAAAGCTTGCAACAACGATTCAATATTTTCCACGTAAAAAAACGCTTTGTTCAAACAATAAGTAAATTTAAGAACAAAAAAGTACACTAAATATTGCGGCAGACGATAATATAGATAATGAAGAAATACAAGAGAACTTCCAAAATTGTCTGTTCCAGATATGTGGGAAAAGATACAGGAAGTTTATGGTTTTGTGAGTCAGACGATATGGAAGCAACTAACTCCTTTGAATTCGCGTCATCGTCTGCGCGCTTTTCGCGACGATACCCTAACTCTCCCGGGATGGAAGCGCAAGCGCAACAGGATTCTCCACCCCTTTTTCTGTCTATTTTGTTCTAAAGAGCATCTGCGCGAACTTTCTTTTTAAGAGCGAATGCCAGACATATTTTTACTTTTTTAAGTGATATTGTTATATCATTTTTCACAGTGTTTTTATAAATAAAAGAATCGTTGCATTTCACATAATTTCAAAGATAACTATCTTTGTTTCTAAATGTTTACAGGTTTAATGAAAAACTTTGAGACACTTTTTAAAACGAGTTTTAGATAAAAATTTATAAAATTTTTTATTTGAATTGGAAACTATCTGAAAAATTTTAACGATATTTTTCGTAAATACTTCTAATATAGCTATTTCAAAATGAAAACAATCTAGCGCATTATCACACACATTCTGTATTCTGGACTTAATATCCACCGACAACTATCTGTTCCCAAATTAAATGTTATATAATGACTGAAATCAATTCTTCGTCTGGGGTAAAAAAAGAATCTGATCAATAAGAAAGAACTAAACGAAATCGTGCACATTACTGAAAGTTACATACCAATGCAATTAATAAAGCTGATTTTTTTCTTCTTTTATTATTTGTTGCTTTTATGAAGGCTTCATGTTATGTTAAGAAGGTTTTATAAGAAAGAGAAAAATACGATTTTTTAAAATCATCCCATTAAAATAAACCCTAACTGAATTCAGTGTCTATTAGAATATTGCACAGTTGCTTGATGGCATAATAGTCAATATATATATATATATA